GCGCTCAAGGACTGCCCAGAGCCCTGTGACCTTGGTGAAGCAAACAAATAAATTTAAAAAGGAGGGGTGTAGGTCAGGTGACTGCTCACGTGACAAGCAGAGACTAGCATGAAGCCAGGGGACGTCCGACACACACGGCTTCCCCTGCTGAAAGAGCAGGGTGAATGAATTCACCCTGCTGGCCAGTCTAGGGAAAACATTCCCTTAACGAGGCCCATGTGTACCAAGAGGAACACTCTGCCTCCACCCGCAGCATACCGATCTCACAGCTCTGCTCGAATAAATTGCTCATAAATACACCACCAATCGCCATAAGGGCGGCTAGAGAACATAGTCAGGCACTCTTCTCAGCCAGATCACCTGACAGTACAGAAATAGGTTTGTTCAGAGGACTGCTCAGCTTCATCAGAGGGCTGGTGTAAGTCCGCTAAGTCTGCAGGTATTGATTCATTATCAGCACACTGGTGTGGGTTCATCTCCGGAAGCCCCAGTGGAAGCTGCTGGAAGCACCACCCTGTTGTGACACAGAACATCTCACACTGGAGCCTATGGGAGAACTGGCACCAACTCCCCAGAACAGCCCCTAGCACTGGGTACCCCCGTTCCTGCCTCAGGAGAAGAGCGCCATCTCAGGGGCACTATATTTAGATGTGTATATATTTAGAAACATAGCCAGAGTTATGCTGCGCTTTGCCTGCCCACCACAGAGCGGCATCCATCCAGCCTCAACTAATGGGGACTTTCACAAGACGGTGCTGCCACCTTCCTGCGAAACAGGAGAAGTGATACAGACCTGGCTGCCTCAGATTCAAAGGTCAAAAGGGGTAAGCCGTGATCCATGCCATGGTATTTATACACCAGTAAATAATCCTCATTTTCCCATAATGGACAGCTACAGAAACTGTCATATAAGGATGGCTCTATAAACCAGCAGAGAGAGCGGTAGCCTCAAACTTCCTGGGTTTAATTTCTTCCTTGGCTCTGTGTGCAGTGTGAATATCTTCCCCATGTTCATGTGAGTTTTTCGTCATAGCCCAAAAAAAGGCTGTTTAGGTGGCCTGTTGTTTCTAACTTGCCCAGGGTGTCCCCTTACCTCAGGCCAGGAGCTTCCCAGGACAGAATCCAAGCTCAAAGTGGCTCTGTGTTCAGCAGAACTTTAATGGAAGACCGGTGGATGCAAGACTTTAAAACAGAACGTCTGATATCTGAATGCAATCGGGTCAATGTTTTGTTTTGTCCTTCAGCAAAAGGCTGTATAAAATAATGAATTATAAATAGCATCTTCTATTTATAATCCACAAAAAAAACTAATGAGGATTCAGTTTTGATAGCGAGCTCAAAGTGTTGACAACAGAAGGAATGACCTAAATTCTCCATTCTCTCCATCTGAACACACCACTGGTATAAACTGCATCCAGACTGAAGGCAGAGTGGGGTTATGGAAGCACGTGCTCCCATTCCAGGGTCTTTCCAATACTCTAATTGTCTGCCACTCTCACCTAGGGAGATAAGAAAGGCTCACCCCTCTAAAACCTCCCCAGACGTCCCAAATTGCTGAAAATCCCACAGAAGAGGGCTGTGGTCCCAGTGCTATGAATGTCTCTGTAAGCTCAACATTGTGGTTCTGCTCACAAACCAAGGAGAGAAGACCTGAAGGGCAAACAAAGGGCAGCCACTACAGGCAGGAAAAATGGCAGCACTGGCTCCAAGGTGCTCCCACCTAAATGGAAACAATCATTTAAAGGCTGGAACAGTCTGACAGGGAAATTCAGACAGGTACCAGAAGAGGTGAGAATGGTCACAGAAGGCGGACATATGGCATAACAGACCAACTGAGTAACCTGACATGGTTTGGGGGGTGAACAGGGGCATCCATGGGGCAGACTCAGGGGGGCAGCACTTGACAGGAGCCCTTGAATACATTAAATTACACAAAAGATATTGGGCAGGGGGGGAAACAGTCACATTTTATCAGAGGATCCTGAAAAGTAAAACTGAGCAGTCTCTACTGAGTTGGTGGTCCTAAAATCTGCTGATGGATCTGCATTCTATTCTTCTTGCTCAGGCCAGCTGACTCTATACAGGACCTCACCACTGGAGAGCATGTGAAACAGTGATTAAGCTGAAGAGCCCAAACCACTTTTGGTAACCTCACACATCTTATGACCTTTGTCTCTGATAATCACCTGATATTGGACGATACCTACAAATAAAACACCATAACTGGACATAGGGACACACAGACAGCACTTCTGGGGTACCAAACTATTATTACCATTGGTATGTTTTGGTCCACTTTACAACAAGTAACTGCTGTCACTAGAACTGAACCAGCTCATTCTGGGTCTGAAATTCATTGTTCTCTGAAGGACAGTTTCAAATCTCATTGAAAATCATTTCTGAAATCTGCCAGGAAGACACTCAATTGCACCTTTCCATAAAATCGTGGCCCCGGACACGCCTGGGTGTCTTTGCAGGCTTCAGAAATTCTTGAGCAAGAAGGCGTGAAGGAAAAAGCAAAAATTGTAAGCTGAGGAGGTGAGAGGGACAGGAAACACAAGGGTTCGGCCGCGGTGACAGTCACCTAAAAGATCCAGAGCCTTGCATGTAGCTTAATTGCTCTATCCACCCTCCACATGCTACCAGCTCTAAGACCAATGCCTGTAGTGCTCATTCAACTGGGGAGGAAAAGGCAGTACAGGAATCTAAGGCATCACTATCTTGGTTGAAGACAACACGGACTTTTAAAAGTCATTTTGATCCAGACGAGATTACTAGCTTCTGAGAATGTATGCAATACATTCAAATAGCAGCCATCTAGGCTGTTCAGCAAGTCCATATTTAAACATACCAAGATGTTGCACATCAGGTCTTGACTTCTGGTTCTGACGGCTCAGTTAATTGAATTAAATTTTTCCTTACTGAACTGATTTACCCTCCTCTAAGGTTTTAGTTATTGTCATATAAATGGAACTTCATTATTATGACAGGAAATTAGGGCTTGGCCAGAATATAAATATTTTATACTGGATGAAAATAAGGTTCCACAAATTTATAGTCATCAGCGGACAATACTCTGATAAGTACTGATGTCTCTTTAAAAGTTACATAAGAAAACTGCATTTATAGCCTGGAAAATGCATAAATTTTGTATGGAGTTACAAGTCGCAAATTATATTTATTTTATATTATTCATAATGAATATACTTGCAAGTATACAGATTACATCCATACACTACACAGCTGATACATGTACCCGATCCTGAGGGCATAGTGTGCCTACTGCCTAGGCTACAATTTGGAATGGAAAGACCTTAGCCTTATGGCTACAATCTAGAGCTGCCGCGATTAGTCGACATAGTCGACGCAAAAAAATGTCAACATCAATATCTTTAATTGACGCGTCACTTATTTTTTTTAATTAAGTTGTTTTAATTTCTCAAAACCAGCCAACCGTTTTCCAGCTCCGTCCAACTTGAGTGTTGCCAGATTTTGCGGTTTTGGATTTTATAATTAGGGAGTGTGAGTACCTGTGGATAATATTTATGTAGGAAACTATTTCTCATTTACGTATGCTATAGTAAGTAGCCACAACAGTTTAATACTCTGGCATTGAGCGGACTGAGGCAGACACTCGCTTACCGGGAAACAAAGGCTGGCTCTTTTCTTAGAGACTAAGTCCAGAACACATGGACATGTTGACATTCTTACACTATAACACAGAAGTCTGACCATCAGATGGATACGGTTGTGTCTTGCACTGTAAATGTGCTGCACTTTAACTTTTTTGCTTTGAAAAAGAGTTTCATGAAATTTTGGAAGTTAGTTGGAGTTGCGCTGCTGATGTTAAAATAAGTGCTCTTGTTTATTTGTTGTTTGTATTTCTTGCTGGAGTTGTCCGTTTTACAAACAGACAAACAGTTGTCAGTCTGTTTTTCTTAGAGAACTTAAATTCCAGTACTTCACCACAGTATACTCTAAACATGCTGCTCTGTTTAATGTGAAAACCCAACAGTTATACTTTGAAAAGGGATATAAAGGAAACATCTTTTTTCCAGTTAGAGATGCACTCCTTGCTGAAATGAGCCCTCTTTGTTTGTTTGCAGTTATTGATGTTCAAAATATGCTGAATATAGAGCTGAAGACTTTTTCAAAAAAATTTTTTAAGGGCTTTTATAGAAACTTTCTTAAAACCTGCACAATACTGTGAAAGATTGTAAAATTTTTTTGTGATACTGGAGTACACAGTGCAATTGCTAAAATAAAGAGAATTTAAATACAATTGTTGATGTTTTTTATTTTTGGAGAAGAAAAACAATCATTTAGACTAATCGATTAATGGATAAATTAGTCGATAGATTAATCAAAATAAAAATAGTTGATAGCGGCAGCTCTACTACAATCAAATGTGAGATGACAGATTGGGGTCAGTCACAGAAACGGCAAGCACCTCCAATGCAAGGAACATCCAACCAAACCATTCAGTCTGGAAGTGAAAGTTTTCATTGAGCTATGTTTGTTTGGGTTGTCCTGAAGCATGATTACAGTACTTGTTTAAAGAGTGCCCTCTAGTGGCAATATCAATTATTGACATGCCTTTTGAAGAACCATCTTCAGTGCCAATACAATGAAAGGAGGCAGTGACCAATGAGCCCTCTTATGCTACAAGGATATTAGCATTGTATAACTGTTATTAAACTTATTAATGCTTCTTATTGTGACACCAGCCTGCATCCATCATATAGCTATTCTGAATTAGTACCTAATTAGCAATGCATAACCCTGTCATACAAGTACCCCACTAACAGCACATCTCAAGTACATTAGTACTAGGGCTATACAGCTCTACCAGGACAGCAGTCCATTAACACCGTACAAACTATGTTCTTTGTTAGCAGCCCATTAGCACAACATAGTCTTGCTAGCAGTAAAGCACCATTAACAGTATATAGTTGCAATCCACTCTGTGCACACACACTAGGGTGGCGCCCTGCACTCACCAGACTGGTCATGCATCATGCGGATGGCTTTAGCCTTGGCTAGCTCCAGAGCTGTGACCCAGCGCTGGCGCTCCACCTCGGAGCTTGCTTTCAGGTGGTAGGTGCGGCCACCGCTGCTCAGGACGATGTTGCAGGCGTCCTCTGTGTCGATGTGCGCGGTGGCCAGGTTGATGGTGCCCCGGCAGGTGTGCGCCATCTCTGCCTGGGTCCTGGGGTGCACACACGTGCACAAACACACACACACACACACACACACAGGAAGACAGACAGGGACAGGAAGGTGGTCAGTGCTGCATCTCCACTGTCGATTCCATGACACATCTGTGTGACAGTGACAGACATAGGAAGGTCTATAGTCTTTTAATCTAATCTTAAAATATTTTACTGCAGTGACAAGAGAACAAAATCAAACCTTTAAGAAATATACTGAACATATTAAGCAAAAGTCCACTTATTTGCACTTTGCAAAAAGCAGTGAATCTTTTAAATGCAGTGAGTGAAAATGACAGGGTGAGGTAAGCAGTGGGTAAGTCCCCAGAAGGTTAAAATAAGTGGATATCAGGCGCTCAACAGCACCCTCTGAAAAAAAAGCACAAATTACACTAATGCGCAACAACCAAAAATAAAAACATGGACTTGAAAATAAACAAATAAGAAAACAAGGAATTAAAATATCAGTGGTTGCCTGGTATCTCAGTGCATTAGGCTTATGTGAGCTCTATGTGTGTGTGTGTGTGTGTGTCCAGGTAGTGTGTGTCCAGGTATACCTTACCTTGTGGAGACCAAATGTCCCCACAATGTGATGAATACCTGTTTTTTTAACTTATGGGGACGATGATATGGGAAAACTCTATTTTATAAAATCTGTGACTGCAATGAAAAAACTAAAAATGCAAAATCTCTTGTATTTTGTTTGGTTACTTATGGTTAGGGCTGGGTAGGGGTTAAGGTTGTCATAGTTAGCATTAGCATTTGTGTGTGTGTGTGTGTGCGCGCACGCGTGCAAGCTCAAGCTGAGGGCTACAGAATTTTGGCATTGAAGTCTTAATGAAGTCTTAATTCCCCAGGTTCTCCTCTCTGGACCAGCAGCCTCTCTTGGGACCAAAAGTTAAGTAGCCTGTGCGAGTCTGAGGTAGCATAAGGCTGGATGTCACCACTGACTGCAGGGGAATTGTGTCATCTAAGGGTACAGCTACGCATATTCTGTAACTAGAGCAATAATGCAGAGAAGACGCCTCTGAATAAACACTGCATGTTTTCCTCCTTCCTCTTGTGGGTTAAAGCCAATGTTTAAGTCACAGGCCTTATCTAGAGTGGAGATGTCGAGTCATGGAACAGTGTGGAACAGAAGCCCCAGTGGGATCAGCACAATGTGACAGGGATCCAACGCAGATAGGGTGGGTGGGAGGGGGGGGTTAAGGCAGATAACATGTGGGACAAAAGATCAGGTAGAAACAAACAGGATGGAGGGAGGCATGAAACCTCAACACTAACTGATATTAAGAGCAGATAATAGGCCAACTGCTACAGTAAAAGGACACACTTTTATACCTTTGAGCTTACTGGGGTCTTATCCTGGATTACTTCAGTAATGTAGATGTAAACACTAAACCTGCAGGACACTAATTTTCATCAGGAGAGCCAGAGGTCACATTTATAGTGAGTCGCCATCATCTTCATTTTTGCAAGCGAGTCTTTTTGTCTGATGTACAAGATGGGGGAGTTGCTGGCGAAGCATTCATTTAGGACAGAAAAGAACAACATGTTCCTCAGGTGTATGTGTACGTGGCCCCATCGAGTGAAATATGAAACCCCTGCCCTCTGTGTCTCCCCCCTTCCAAAGATACCAGCTGTGGGGGGGGGGGGGGGGGGGGGGGGGGGTCAAACTGAAAACCTCATGGGTAATACAGTCCGGCTACAGGATCAAGAAAAGCCACACAACTGCCACAAATAGTCCCAGCTGGAAGAAGAGCGAAAGGGACAGAACGAGGAGAGGACTGATGGGGGTTGGAAATCATAAATAAGGACAGTTGCTTGAGCTAAAGAAAAGCAAGTTAGCTGGATGTGGCCCCTGTTTACCTTCAAACAGTACAAATGTCTGTGTTTAGGGAATATGTAGCCCCCATTCAAAATGTACACCAAAAATCCCACCCAGCATGGCCTAGCTTGGCCTGGGGCAGCTAACCTCAGCCACGCTTGACCACATATACCGATCTGGAGCATGTGAGCACTCAGTCGACAGGCTGTTTCACATGGATGGACTGAGGTGGATGCACAGACAGTGAGAGCAGATTCACAGACAGAAGGCAGCAAGCAGACGGGCAGAGGGACTGTTGAAAATAGCACCAAGCATCCAAGCAAAACCCAAGCCTACTGTCAGGAGAGCTCACTGTTTTTAGCTTGGCAGAACCCAAGCTAAAACCTCTGTTACACTGCATAAAATTCCTAGTTGTAAGCTACAAGTTAATTGGTTGATGTGCAGGGCTGCTAGACAGGTGATTGGTGTATTCCATTGCCTGGCTTGTCAGGGCCCCTCCTCCATGCTGCTGTGAGCCCCAGCATCGCATGCAGTTGGGTGATCATAGGCTCCATGCTCTCTTCAACTACAAGCTCCCAGGCCACTGTTTATAAGGATCTGCCCCCCATCCCCAGGGCATGCGGTTTGAAGCTGACAGAGGGCGCTATGACTGCATGGCAACGCGAGCTATACCTGCAGGTGGCTCAGAAACAATGGCGTGGCGGGGGCACGGTGACTGTTACCTGTCCCTCCCCAGTGCGCACATCCTCATAAAACACACATCCACAGAGCTGGGGTGCGAGAGAACAGAACAGCTTTTCAGACACACTACAGACACACAAGGTGGGGGGGTGGGGGTAGGTAAGTGGAGGGGGGTCAGATCCAGGTGATGTTACATTACCCTAAATTACACATTTAGATATCTGAACACCCAAAGTGGGGAGATTTAGGGTAACACTGACTCGCTGGATCATGGCTCCCCCAAAACTAGCAGGAATGAGGTAAGAAACAGAGAAGGAAACACAGACATTTAAGCCAAACTACAATGAAAATGAACAACACGGGTGTGAAGACTATGTATCCAAAACAAACAGGAACACAAGTTTCTAAACTGGCAGGGTTTAGAAAGGTTCCTCAGCAGTTTCAGTCTCAGGTTATGGCCACCCAGATGCTAATGAACTCATAACTTGAAAATTATCCAATCACATCCCCCAAGGGTCCCTGCTTTTGTACCTTTCATCAAGGTGCTCAAGCAAAATCTTTTTATAAACAGGTAAAAATGGCAATTAGTTTTGCATGATAGAAGCAGAAAAGCTGGCAAATTAAAATATTCAATTATTTCCCAAATAATCTCACCCATTCTTTGTATCTCATAAGAAATAAATACAGTATTTGACCAGAGAAATCAGTCTGATCCTCTGAAAGCCCTGTTTTTTCCACCCTGATCCTGACATCCATCCATCCATGAGTGTTCCAACTGCTTATCCTGATCAGGGTCGTGGGTGATCCTGGCAAACTGGAGCAGCTCGCTGTAAACCTCGGAAAAGGGTGAATTATCCCAATTTCCATAACAACTGGCTCAAATGTTTAAGTGCTCAGGCACACTGAAAACATGCTTGCGCACCTTTCTGCCAAGAACAGGCCCAGGTGATCTCAGACCCACGGTATAAAGAGGTCCAACAGAAACCAGACCCCCATGACAGAGGGGTCCACATACAAGGTGGGCCCACGTTTGGCCTGGGGTGGGCCTTGGCCAGGCAGGGAAAGAGGAAGAATATTGGCCAGTGGCAAAGTTAATGCGGTGTAGTCTTTATCAGGGTATTAAGGCAGATTGCTGCTGAGAGGCGAGAGTAAGCGGCCTGAGTATGCTAAAGCTTAGAGAGAAAGTCAATTACCAAATTAAGGGGGAAAGTAGGACCTACTGCAAAATTATGGGTATAAAATAGCCTTTTTTCTCTTTTTTTGCAATAAATTCATGGATGCAACACTGGAGGATCCTGTCATTTTACTAAATGCTGACTATTTAAAATTACCCCTTGAACCACCTGTATTACATATTTAACATCAATCAATACACCAATCTAATGCACATTTGTGTTAACTGAAGCCATTTCCAGAACCTGGCTATTTGTCTTTGCCTGTAATATTTGTTTTTCTGTCAGACTGCATAAGCAATCTGTAGAGGAGTCAGGGAAACTGTAGAGTCAATGATGGCATCTAACTGCAGAGTCATATACAATTCAGAGACAATGCCTACATGTAATTGCAGAGTCATGCCTCAGAAAGGAAAAGAATAACCACAATTGCGAATATGAACATGATGAGAGACTGCCATCACCACTCAATAGGACAGCCTTTTTGCTACCATTTTGTAACCAAACTCTGGTTTTAATAATGACTTATACAGAAAATCTGAACCAAGGGGAATCAGAAAGCTCAGTTATCAGACTTGTTGCCACTGACGCAATCCTGATGCCCGTCACAACCACGCAGATGGATCCTGAAACCAAGTTGTGGGGGGCTTCAGAATGCAAATCAGGTGATTTGCATGGCCAGGCAATTTTGCAACAGGAGTCTGCAGCCAGCCGGCACTGGTCACAAAGGCGGCACAGCTAGATAGTTCATATCACATCTCTTGGGTTCAACATGCATGTAATAAATAACAAAGATATCTTAGATACTTAAAACTATCAGATTTAACTAAACAAATACCTAAACACATATACTTAAGAATATTAAAACAAAAGAAACTGGAGATTCTCAACTGGAGATTTTTGCATTTCCTTAAAAATGCAGTCCCACACTTGTGTCTTGGGAGTCTCTGAATGCCAGGTACAGCCAAAGGAAATACATATTTTTACATCAATTTCTAAAGCCTTAGATACCAGTCCCGGGGACCAGTGCAGCACTGACTAACCATGGACTGGAGGAGTACTTGGCTTACAGAATCAGCTGTGTTAAAGACAAAGCATATAAACCCCAGCGCTGCACCAGAAAAGCTTTTTACCCAACACCCATTAATACATTTCATTGTCTTTCCAAAGGCGGGGGCAGGAAGGGGAGCTTCCGATGTGGAAGAGTAATGCACACTGGACTTTGGGCCATTTCAAAGGCCAATACCATATAATACCACTTGTCAGGGCTTAAAACCATTACTGGAAACTAGTACTTTTAGCACACTCTCTTACATACCCCCTCTGTCTCATGCACGCAGACAGACACACCAGTGCAGCCATGCCTCATCTTCACGGATGGCCCCTGTTCAACAGTGACACAGTCCTTCAGTGTGGATGGGTTACCCTCAAATCACTGCCGTCACCTTTCAACACAGTGGTCTATTAACAGGGGTGTGTGTGTGTGTGTGTGGGGGGGGGGGGTTGAGTGCTACCCATCCACTATCACCAAACAGGAGCCTTACACTCATAAACATGATGATGCAAGTGGACAGAGGTTTCAAACGAATGCTAGAGGGTGTGTCTCCCACTTCAACTCCTCACCACAGGCATGTCATTTAACCTTCCCACAGCACTGAGGACACACACACCCTGCTATGCTTCTCCCCTCATTTTTGTGGGCAGGCCAACTTTCAAGTGTCAAAAACTCAACAACCTCAGAGAGGCGTGTCCAAAGACAGCTGACTGACATGTCTACCCAAGGGGACCCGGCCCCAGCAATGAGGTGCAATGCTGTGCCTTCCAGTCCTGACATCAGGCCATGCTATCTGAATGACACCACTATCTGCCGCCCAGTCTGACATCCGGTTTTTTCCTATTACAAACAACCTTGTGCCCAAGTATAAATGTGATTAAGCCTTTCAACCTCGCAAACAGGCATGACAAAGTTTTTACAATTGTATCACGAGATGATAAAATGCCATTTCGCCTCGGTACAGGACCCTGATGTAACTAATTAATGAGCAGAATTGCTTCACAATTCTGCAACCGGCTCAACACATTATTTATGATTGCTTTACCCTCACTGACCTGTTTGGAAAATTAATGTAACTTGTAGGATTATAAAACTAAGCTTGGCAGAGCCACACACTGGACTGGAACACCGTTACAAATACAGTGCTAACACCCATCGGGTTAAAGGCAGAGCCTTGGTTACCGGTTTACAGGGCAACAGTGAGTTTCTGGCATAAAGCTGTGGCCCAGAGGATTAGCCCTACATTCAGTAAAGAGCCAATTAATTAGGTGAAAAGTCTGGCCAGGGAAAGGAGAGGGTGACTGTCACAGTAGCTACCTGCCCCCTTCATGAAAGAGGGGGGAATATGAGAACATGATAAAGAGACACCTGAACAACAGGTGTTATCGCCTGGACAGGTGACACCTGTTTGCCCCCTCCATACACTTACGTATTATTAGCTCTTACATTATATATGACAAATAAACAGAGTTCAATTCAATAATGCCCTAAGCGCGTATTTAACTGTCTTTAACCGTTACTCACTGCTGTTAACCGTCCCACATTTAAGTTGTCAGATAACCTTGTTAAATTAACTAGCGAACTGAGAGTATTTAACATGGAATACTAAACGATAAATAACGCGTCTGTTTAAAAGAATACCTCCGTGTTTGACAGCTAGCAGGGTGTTGCTGACGTTGCTTTCCACACGGCAGACCACTTTTGCCTTCCTAGCTGAATGTATATATTAAATGAAAAATGCTTTCTTTTTATCCCCATTTTAAAATGGGTTGTGGGGGGGAAATGACATTTGAGTAACGGGGTCAACTGACGGCTATGTAACCAAGCGGATGGTGGAGAGGAAACCTTAGCTGGCTAACCGCGTCCTCGGGGCAGCCTGACCGCTAGCACGGCCGTTTCGCCGGCTAGCCCAACGGCTAAAGGTGTGACAGGCCTCGGGTTCGGGAGCCAGGGCCGGGCCGGCGTCCACAGACAGCCCAGGCGAAGGTGCAGGTGCAGATGACACACGGGCTAAGCGGCTAGGCTAAGCTAAGCTAAGGCTAACCCCCCCACAACTTTCAGCACCCGTCTCCACGCGCGCCGATGCTTCACGAGACGAGACGCCGCGAGGCTAGTACCACGCGCGGAGCCGAAACGGTTAAACGTTCTAGCCGAGCTAATCTGCAGTTTCAACAGCCCCGCCGGCTTAACCGGCTCCCCGTCTTTTACCTGACAAGTGGCAATTGCCTGATTTCATACCGAGCGTTATGACAGCTCACCCAGCCGGCTCCTTTACCTGTAGTATGATAGAAGGCCATTGCTGAGGACGAACCATCTCCGCTGGTAACCTTTTAAGTAGTTAGTCCATTTAAAGAGCCAGCCTTTATAAGTGTCCGATCCCGGAGCCGGGACGCCAGCAGTCGAGGACGCCGAGCCCTTCCCCTGGTCACTCATTCTTCTGTCCACTGCAGGCTGGGGGTTGCAAGACAAACCAGGAACAGCGGTGAGGATCGACACTATCCCGCCGGAGCCGCCACAGGGAGCGGCCGCTTTCCCCTGCACTTACCGCCGATGAGCTGGAAGCGGGGTAGCTTGTCGGGGGAGGGTCCGGACTGGAGAGAGAGGGAGAGAGGCAGGGAAAGGGGTTGATGTGGAAGGGGGGCACAACGCGCCCCCCTCACATGACGCTGGAAACTAGGAGGAAGGATGAAAACTGACCGTGGAGGCGATCATATGACGAGGGGAGCTAGCTATCAGGGAATCCTGACGCGTGTGAGGGGACTTGGGGATCTCGGCGTTAGTACCGAGGCCGTGCGATCCCGGTTGGCTATCGTGCAGGAACACGTGTGTATGTGTGTGTGCGTGCATGTGTTTGCTTCGCTGCTGTATCCCGGCGATGTGTCGCCGGTATGCGCAGCATCACCGTAAACTGCCAGCATTCGCCGTTTCTGCGTGGCAAGGATACAGTGCGCAATCGAAGCCGCAATTGAAACAAACGAGACGAGAGCCAATCGCTTACTATTTTCAATGTGCTGCAGATGTAGGGTAATGGAGAATACGATATCATAATCGAATATTACTGAATAGTGTATTTTATGCTGTAATTTTACGACTCTCTAGCCAATGAGAATGGGGTCCTCCGTCAGATACCGCAGGAAATTACATGAAAAACATATTGCGCAGTTGCTAATGGTGTAATTAGCTCTTCATAACAGGTTTATTTGCAAAATGTGAAAACTGAATCATATCAGAGCACCTGTCTTGATCAGCTGCTACACAAAAACAATATACTCCTACGCCAGCAAACGTGTAATCTGAAATTGTCCGCCTATACTAACTACATCGATTACCTCGCGAAGGGGCTTCTCCTTATGCTACAGGTACTTTTCAATTCAAGGAGTAGCAGGGACATCTACAAGCGTGGTTAAGGGACAGAAATACGAAAAAATAAAGAATATGTAACCGAATTGCTTCAGGAATATAAATCCTCCTGCATAAATATATGAAACGTACAATTTTAAACAAGGGCGCAAGTTTGGTAGGGACCAATAAGTCATCTCCGAACCCCCACCTCCCTATACACACAGGATACTCCCATAATAGGAACGGGTCCCCACCGTCCATATCAAAATCTACGCCCGTGACTTTAATCCTCGCCAGCATGTCCATTTCCAAGTCATTAAACAGTGTGGTAAGATATGCCGGTTCGTGATACACTCCCGAAATAGCCAGAATGTTTGATAGACAAGTAACATTCTTTTCAATCAGGCCTTGGTAAATATGCACGGCATGCACAGGTATAAAAATATATCTGGCAGCTTAATCTGTCATCAGACACCACGATATTATTTGGATATATAGTAAAAGTTATTTATGTACTTTTTCTATCTCTAGTCACAAGTCTGCACCTATAAAACTGTATAATGCAGCCAACTCGCCTTGAGATTATTTGTATTCTCACGATTTACTGTTATCTTACTCTGAGTAATCTTATCTGAAGGCATATTGAGATTTAGACAGCAGTTTCTTCCACACCATGACAATAAATCTGCTTAGTGTGACTCACTGATACCCCATTTTAAAAGAATATTTAAGCAATTTGTTCCTCCGGTGTTAGTTTTTATTGGGAAATCATTCAAACGTGGGGAAAAAAACATTTAGAAACAATGCGTCCACCACAGAGTAAGGAAGAGAGAAGACAACATCAGTGTCGATTGACGTTAAGATTTCCAGATATAATTTTAATACTTTTTAAAACGGCGTGTGTAAATATATAATGGTGATTTGCATTTCGTGTTTATTAACAGTTGTTTATATCAAATCCGATCTGAACCCACTAAACATTGGACGTCGGATAGGCGTGCAGATCATGTCTATATTAGGTCCGTCAGTCCATGACCAATTCTGGACATCTATACAACGTCCAAACTAGGTCCACAATTTGAACGTCCATCCATGACCCAACTTGCACGTCAATATGACATTCAACATTTGAACGTAATTTTTTTGACGTTATTTGGACGACTACGACAGGTGCAGGAAATATAGTTTTATTTACAAATATCAACATTGTTGTTATCAACATAATAAATGTGAATACAGATG